TGAGTCTACTGACCCCTGCTGGTGTTTCCCTGACACTGAGATGTGCAGAATTCAAAAAGTCCAGAATAAAAACATTGGCTTGCTTCCTTCCCATTTACAACAGCCCAAACATTCTGTGATTGGTTGGCATTTGCCCAGCCTTGGTGGTCCAAGCTTGTGATTGGGTGGGCCAGGCATCCCCTGCCCCCCCCCCAGGGCTGAGCCTGCCTACAGCCAAACTAAGCCTTGTCTGGCAACAATAACATGCATCAATAATTATAACTGCCTCCACTGTTCATGTATTCATTATAAATTATGACTTATAGACCAGAGGCCATTGATAAATCACAGTGAACATTCTGATCTGTCTTTGCTTTATCATGGAACAGCTGCAATAGTTTTATTTTTGGAACATTTGTACTGTTGCGCAAATTTCTCATTTCTGATTAAGTAAAAAAAAACAGAAAACATTCAGAGCAACAGTGCAGTTTCTCTGTAAAAAAAACAAACAAACAAATTACCTGCAGTGGAAGTAAAGTATAAGTGATGGAAAAGCAGAATGTAAAGGTATGGTTTGATGTTGAGATACAGTATCCGTTCAGTAAAGGGCAGGTCTGTCTCACTGGGAGGTATTCAGTGGGATTTCAGTGTCACATTTGCAATATTCAATGACCAAGTTTATTACTTGTTTTCTGATATATTTAATAGTCTGTGCATGTTTCCACACAATAACAAAATGCCTATTAGCAGAATTCTTATTTTTTGGTCATTTTATATTCACTCTCATGTAAGAATAAATGACTGTAAATAAATCCATCAGCTAAACAACCGGCATAAGTGAAAAATGTGGAGTGTCACCCTAAAACAGATAAACATGTCACACTGTCAGGGTCACTGTCGTAAACATGCAGCACTTACCTCCGGTTTGGTTGAAACGCTGCTTTGCAATTTCTATGTTGGCTTTGAACGCTGGCGCTGCACCCATGAGGATCTGAGTCTGCTGCTCCCAGTAATTAGGATCCACAGCTTTATTCATCCAGGCCTGACGAGGAGTCACTCTGGGTATTTTACTGTCACAGTAAACGATGGGCTCCCCGTCCACCATCCCCAAAGCCACAAACTCTGGGAAGTTTGGTATCCCTGATGAACCGCTGTAGACATACTGCAGGGAGTGTGTGACTGGGGAACCAAAACACACATCACAGTTACAGACACTGGATGATAGTGACCACTCTATGTTTTTGATCATTTATCCAAATTTTTTTTTTTTTAGGTATTTAACATTATATATAAATCATATAAATTAACAACATAAATATATAAATGTTACAGTTCATCATATTTCATTCCTGTCAATTATTTTCCTTCCTTAATAGCTGTATAAAATGCAATATGGAAGAGAGGCAGGTATTAATGCAGGCAACTTTGCTTACGTCCTGAATGTGTGTCGATAAAATGGCATAAAAAAGAAGAGCAGGACAGTCTGACCTTGTTTTATATTTTAAATTTCGAAATTGCTTTAGGGTTTTTTTCCTTACGTAATTAGATATTTCACAGTTATGGTTCTGTTCTTCGGAAGCTGTACATTTTACTCGTGTGTGTTTATGTTGATTAGCTGTGTGTGGTCAGGGGCGTGCCCTCATTGGGCCACCCCCCCTGCTAAAAATCAACAAATCACCTGCCGCATACATTATATGCTGGAATCAATTCTTCAAAAAAATCAATAATCTCAGTGACTTCACTGATGGCTTCAAAGGCTCCAGTACCACTAATGAACACTGAGAGCTGTTTGTAATACGTCTCATTCCTCTGTATAACAGGCCAATAATACACAGCAGTGCTCTGTGTTAATGTATGGAAAACAGACAGAGAGTGAATACAAACGGTGACACAGTGCAAACACAGAAAACTGTGAAGATAATGTTATAATCTTTACATTACTTCATGTGAATCTGCAGGCAGCAGTACAGTGATGTCTGTCTGGTTTAATAGTGTGTCATTTTTTCCTATAAATCTAAATCATATCTTTTCATTTGCCTTATAGGTACATAGACGATGTAGCTCTCAGACTGAGGGAAGGTTTATTTATCTGGCAGATGTTTTATCCAAAGTGACATACAAGTGATGCACATAGAACACGACAGCTGTGGCATGTGCTAAATCAGTCAATTTAAATGTATGATTGACCGATTTCTTGTGTTTATGATTATTAAATTGTAATTAACACAGCAGTTCAACAGTATCTTATTATATATAGGCCTACAATAATCAAACAGCATTCAATCGACAAATATACGAAAAAAAAGAAAGACAAAATAAAAAGTGAAATGAAGGTGAAAACGCCACCTTCTTTATCTACCCTAAACAAATGTTCAGTCCAGATCCATAGCGCCCTCTTGTGTATTAATGGAGCTATAGGTCAATAATGCGCGGCAAAAAGAGCGTTATAATAAACCGTATGATGTGACACTTTTAAGCGCATCAAAATTTTGAAATTTTGTATTGACTGCCATAAATAGCCGATAAAGCATGCTGTTCTTAAATTACACTGGGAATTTCAAAACCAAAAGGTTGTCAATTGCGAATTTTGATCTTTCCATACTACGTTTAAGCTAGAGTTCAAGCTATCTTTAAGCTAAACGAAATTCCCAATTCAGAGAGCATTGTTTTTTCAAGCCTTTAAGGTCAGGACATGGTCTGTAACATTAAAATCAGGGTGAATTAATTTAAGGTTCATTTCACATCGTATTCCAATCGGTGTTGAAATCTCACCTACAAAGTAAAAAAAAATGAGAAAATAAAACAGACTACTTCATCGTCTAAAGTGCGCACAGGGTTAACAAAAACGACAAATGACAATAACAGATGTTTTCAGTAATGAAGTTATCAAATAAATTTCTATTTCATGCATGATCATTACAGGAAAATCTGGGTGAAAAGACAATTCATGTGCTTTTTGCCATGGATCAAATGCGAATATATATTCTACGAACCACCGCTATTTACATTATATGTTTATTTATTATTTAATGTATTATACTTTATATAGACCACATACATAATGTTAAAAATACGAATTTAAACTTAACCACATTATATTTTTAAGAAAAACAAAATCTAGTTTTGTAATTATTAAATATCCTAATAACTAGTTCAAATGGAACTTACGTTTGTCTTGATTAAGCAATATGTTTCAGATATAAAATTAAACCGTTCAAATCTAAAATACGGTAGCAAATGAATATCGAATACCGAGATAGGCTATCGCAAAAATAAAAGCCACGCACTTTAGAAATAACTGAAGTTTTAAAGTAACCTAAATTTATTAAAACTTACCTGCAAATATGGAGTCAATGCCGAACAAAATGAGCGCAAATAGCAGAGCTTTCCGCATGTTGTGCGAAATATTGGATTCCTCAGCAGGAGAACGTAAAAAAACACACAATTTTCAGATGCGCGTCCTGGGGACTGAACGACTTCGTAACAAGTCGCGCTTTTATCGGAGAAAATTTTTTTTTTTTAAACCAATAGAAATCAAGATTAGACATGACATCACAGATCTCTGGGATGTTTCGTGATGAAGAGGTTTCTATTCGAAACCAAAGTTAATATGGCTCAAGATGTTCTGGGAAATTGAGTTCGGTACATTACAGGCAGCTTGGAGAATGACGAATGATCGGTTGTTTCAATACAGGATTTACGCTAGTGCTTTCATGTATTTCCTGATATATTAGGATTTTGTTATTATAATTTAATTGAGTTATGGGATGGAAAGCCAGCATTACATATACTTTATGCCGCACAAGGCAGCGCTTTTTAAAAGACATCTTTAACATATTTAACTGCTGAAGATGGATGAACCGGGGACTCGCATTTTTAGAGAAATATTTAGCTTATGATATTATTCAAAGTCAGATTTGAAACCATAAAAACATTCTAATGTTTATGTTGACTATACATTTATTAATATCTTTTAAAGATACACAAAATTTTCCAAGAGACATAACTAAAACATGACTGTTAAGACCTGCGATGGACTGTCATCTGGTTCAGGGTGAATTACATCCTTATGCCTCTGCTGCCTGGGACAGACTCCCAGCCCCCGCAACCCTGACAAGGATAAACAGTTAGACGATGGATGGATGGATGGATGCTTCTGCTTCATCTTCAAACACACACAGTGACATAATTAAATGTCCTTTTGCAGTATGAAATTTCTGTGAACACTGCAGACAGTGGCAACACAATAACCAAAGCAGTAAAGCCCTGAGTGACAAGTCAGGCAGCAAAATGACAGAAACAAACAGAGACACACAGTGAAGATGGACCTGCAGACTCTGGAAAAATAAATGCATGTGGGCTGGGGGGGGGGCCGGGTTTGGGGAACGGGAAAGAGACGATGGAGGGGTGAGTTCTGGCTTCCAACAGCTCCATCACTGTCACTGTGCAACATGCAGCCAGTTTGTATCGACCATTACGATGTGAAACGGTGACACACTGACATACATGCAGTGTAGGAAATATTCTGCATCCTCAAATGTTTTTCAGTTAAACTGGGATCTGAAGACCATCTCCTGTGTCTGTAATTCTTTTATTTTGTTAATATTTCATCCAGAATTTGCTTACCTTTGATATTGACACAGGAGAGATGTTGCTCCCTGAATTTGTAAAAAGCAGTTAAAGGAAATAAAATGAAATCTTAAAATTGTCCGTTCCCACCCACAATGAACACAGTTCAACAGGACAGGAGAGGTTTTAGTAGCAAAAGATAATGGATAAGAGTCACACAGCGGGTTACAGTGCATGAAGCAGAGACACTAAGGCAAAGGCATTTAATGCTGATGATCTTGTGACTAAGGGAGTCTGAACTGGAAAGTCCCTGAGATTTTACAAAATAGCACAGAGCTCGTATATATTTATAGCCTTATAGCGCCCTCTACTGCCGGTAGCTCTCCTTCTCTTCCTGCAGTTCTTCAGTTCCATTTCAGGGAAATCACGTGAGCACCTCTGACTGGATTTCTCACTGCCAGTGTTACCAGGATAACCCAGAAACTAACAGTGAGTCAGGGCTTTTTGGGGGACCAGTTTTTCACAGGCAAAATGGCTGCTTTGTCACTTCACAATTGGTAAATTCTTTCTGGCTGTGTTACACAATGACAATAAACTGACTGAATCTTGAATCTGGCCACTCAGAAGAACAGAATTTCTTCACACAGCAGGTTGCATGAAAAACATCAGTGCTGATGTCGACTCCACAGCTGATCTGCTTTATGCAGAAAGTTAATTTGGTAACATGATGGGAAGGAGGTGTGAGAGATGTGGGAAAAATACCCCTGGAGGGTGGGGTTTATTCAGGTGATGGAGGGGCTGAGGTTGCAGGTTCAGGGGGGTGCGGTTCTCTCCCCGGG